AAAATATCCCAGTAAGACAAAAATAAAATAAAATAAAATAAATCCAAATTTACAATACAATTCACATCATGTTCCTTTAGCTGTAGTAATCAGTACTAAACACCACCAAGCAGCTTGGAGGGTTAAACTGAGCCTGAGCCTCTGTCTCAGATGTTCAACCACAGATAAAACTGGTGCAGTTTACTTATTCTGGGTGTGCATTAGCCACAGTACTCTCTCTCTCACACACACACACTGCAGGCGCAGCATGAGAAACAGGCTTTGGAAACAACAGTTTATGCTCTATGCTTGCTGTATTACTCACACCCATAATTTAAAGCCAATAAACAGATACTGTATTAGTACAGTATTAGTTTCTACAACATGGCATAAACTACATGACACCATCCACACTGAACTACTGAGAAAGAGCCAAGGCCTTCCTGCCGTCCAACACGGTGTTTAAAGTTCAAAATCCTGAGTTATTTGTCTCTCTGTCTGAGTTCTCGTTCAGGGCCAACCATGATGTAATACAAGAAAATCTGTCCGATTAAATCACCCAGCAAAAAAGGAACAGAAGAGTAATTGGAACAAACAGAGGAACTATATAATTAAGCAATAAGGCACAGGGCTGTGCAGTATTGCGAATGTACAATATTACATTACATTATTATTATAAATTGCATTATATGATTATAAATATTATACATTTTATCCTAAGATTTAGATCATTATCAAAAGTAACATACTACATTTACATGTATATTACTTAATAGATTTAAGTTTCAATTTTAGAAAAATATTATAGATAAATAGATGATATCAGCCAAATTTAATTTATTATATAAATCATACAATAAAATAGAATAAAATAGAACAAATAGAAATACAAAATAGCAAAAATAATAAATAATTAATACATATTAACAAACAAAAATACTAATAAAAAGCTAAATTAATACAATTAATATAAAATAATTATTTGAATTTATTTGGGAATTGCAGCCTAATACTATTAACATTAATATTGATATAAAAAGGTTAATATTATTATCAACATTTGTTTGGATTGAATAAGGGTTTTGCCTTTTAGATTTTTTTTTTAAAACTGAAACTATAGGATGTTTTCTCTGGTATATTCACAAAATATTTTTATATTCTGGTATATTCACAAAAAAAGCCTTGAGTTGAAACACTCTTAAAGCTAAATGAACCAGAACAGTAACAAACGGCTCTATAACAGCCTGTCAATCACCAATGATGCATTTGCAATTATTCATTGTTGTGGTAACATTAAGACATTTTCAATAATTGTAGACAAGTTACTACTGTACAGTTTTTCCGTTATTCTTGAGCTTTGGAGAAGTGAGGTGAGGCCTTTAACGTTTAAAAACACCGGTGAGGAGTTCATGGCTAGCAGAGCTGAACATTTTAAAGGGGTCATATGATGCTGCTAAAAAGAACATTATTTTGTGTATTTGGTGTAATGAAATGTGTTTATGCGGTTTAAAGTTAAAAAAACACATTATTTTCCACAAGTGAGGTAGGTATGTGGGGGCGTGTTCGAACGAGCCGTTTTAGGTAGGTGTGGCTAACTCTTAACTTTTATAAAGAATATCTCTTTGGATTTGAGACTTTAGTCTTTGCAACTTTACAGATCTTCTTTATGCACCAAGAGCTTGTAACACTCTAAAGAGAAAGGAAAAAATGAAATCGCATCATATGACCCCTTTAAACAAACTGGCATGTTTGTTTTACCATCCTAAACCTTTTCAAACATTAGCCAAACAAACTAGCGTGCCTTTCAATTATGTAAATCACAATATTTTATTCATCACACCTGTTCCTTATCAGGAACAGTCATCTAACTGACAGGGTTTGAGCCATATATATATATATATACAAATGATTAATACATTTTTTATTACGAAATTTAGTGTCATAAATACACGTAGATTAAGCAAACAGTATCACAAAACGAACCCTGTTTACCGAGCTGTTACGACCAGCTATTTAAGAACAAATAAAATATAAATTTGAGCGTAAATCCCTGCAAAAAACAATAAAATATTAGCAGCTGACTAAACAGGGATTCAAAGAGACAGGAAACGCCTTCAACAGCAAAAAATAAGGCTGACTAACACCGTTTCGTACTACTACTAACGTTTTTCATAACACACACACAACCCATCATAACAGCTAGTTAAAATCCTAAACACAATGTGTATTGTCAGTGAGAAGCAGCCTAACTAACCTGAAGCTAGTCAGTTAGCCAGCTAGCCACCGCTAATAGCTCATTTTCTGCCACTTTAACTTTAAAATAAGCGCTTACGAGCTTCGAAGGCTTTTAAACACTCCCACGCTGAATATCAAACAAACCCGAGCGCGTGTGTCGTGTCAACGCGGACGTTTTTTTTCTTTCATTTTGGTGTTTGCTGTGAGTTTCCTGAGGTGAAAAATCAACTTACTTGCTGAGCCTGTCAGCTGAGCGACGCGCGTGCACACGCAGAAACATCCGCAAACCTCATCAGCGCTCGCGCCGCATACGCGGGACGCAGGCGACGTCATCAGCGCCGCTGGAAAGAGCCACGCCCACCTGCTGCAGGTTTACTGTTTTTTTGGTATTTAAGACAACAAAAATAGAATTTATCATTAATACAAAGTAATTTAATATAATAATATTAATAAAACATATTTTGTTGACGTACATTTCATGTAATTTATAAATAACATGAAACAAAATAATAATAATAATACACTTAATATATATAAAAACGCAAATATTATTAAGGCAGAATTCTGATTACAATGTCAAAATAAAAACTCTAATTTCTGTGATAAATCTTTTTAAAAAGTATTTTATGAAGAAGAGCCAAACTATTAGTTACCTTAAATATTTCTGCTATGTTATGTCATTATATATTAATACTAAATAATTCATCATTAAATGAATTAACATTAATGAAAACGTATTTATCATAGTAAATTGAATTTAATTTATAATTCATAAAATAAATTGTAATTAAACAAAAATACAAAAAAAGTAAATAACTAAAAGAATAAGTAATACTAATTCATTCATTCATTAATATTAATAAAAACATATATCGTAGTAAATTTAATACAATTTATAATTTATATAACAACATGAAACAAAAATACATAAATAATAATTAAGAAAAAAAAGAGAAAAAAGCAAATGTGATTCTGATTAAAATGTCAAAATAAAACTTTAATCTCTGTGATCTAAAATATATATTTTTATATTTTATAAAGTAGTGGTAGAGACAAGCTATTATTAGTCTATTAAAAATTTTTTTTTAAATACAAATTAATTAATGTTAATAAAATTTATTTATTTTTGTACATTTAATGTTTTTTATAATTCATAAAATAAAATAAAATGAAACAAAAAAAACTACTTAATACAAAAATAATACACTTAATAAAAACACAAAAAAAGCAAATGAGGTTAGAGTAAAAAAAAACACTTTAATTTATGTGAAAAAGATCAAATATTTGTGTTTAAAAAAAGAAGTGGTAGATCCTAGCTATTATTATGTTAATTATTTTTATATTATGATAACTATTTTGCTTCTTTGCAAGGCACAGAGTAGAAAGTATTCTTAATTTATTTCTTTATTTGCTCACTGGTTCATTTGTAAAACATTGCTCATGTTTTAAACAGTCTAAAGACACTACAGTAAAAAATATTTTTCTTCACATAGAAAGTAACAGTTGCTACCAGTTATCATCATATCCTTGTCATTGACAGATATTTATGATTGAGCATCACAAATTAACTCAAACAAGTCGGCTGGACACGCAATACAGGAACACATTACCCTTGACTAAACATGAGCCACTGTTTGGCTAATAAAAGTTAGGTAAAACCAGGTTTACAAACAAACAGAATCATTTAAATAGAATCATTTACATATTCAAACTTTGCATGTAATAAAAAAAAATAAACATCACTACATTACCTCACATCTCATCATGGACTAAATAGACACTCAGACCCCTTGTTATGACAGATTACACTGATCTTGCATAGAGATGGCTAAAAAAAAAATCTTTTAATTAAAGATCAAGTGTGTGATTTTTGCACCTCTGGCGCCACCAAGTGGAATTGCAAAAAACTAAAAAAATTGTTTTATAAAATGAAATAAAATAAAACATGTTTTATTGTGGCACAATAACAAAATGTTCTTGTGTAGGATAGCCCTCATACATCAGCCCATTACAGGAAGCCCAGTTTTTGAAGGCTGCTTAGAAAACTACGAGCCCTTACCCTCCGCTGCAAAAAAATGTTCTCAATCAGTATTTTTGTCTTGACAACACCTTTAAATAGCATAAGATGTTAACACCTCAAAGAATAATTATTTTGTTTATTTAATGTTTATTTATATTTCATTGTTGTTTTTGTTCTATTTTATTTTATTTTTGTTCATTGTTTTTGAAAACCGGCAGATTGTTTTCTGTTGTTTTAGCCCTTCACTGCAATTTTTTAATGACATTGTTTTGTTTTCCCTAAAAACATTTAAACACCTTTTGAAAAGTGTAAGATGTTAAAACTTATCTTCAGAGAATAGTTATTTTGCTTATCTAATTTATGTTACTTAATGTTAATTGTTTATTTGTATTGCATTGTTTGTTTATTTTATTTCATTGTTCATTGTTGTCCATTGTTTTTGAAAATGGCAGTTTTGATTTAGCACAAATCTAACTTTTAGTTTAGTGAAGTCTACTAAAATAACAGGAAAAAATTAACCATAAAAAACTAATTCAAGATTTAAAAAAAAGCCTTATCTTGCACAACTTTGCTTCTCAAGTGCATTTATCTTATTTTAAGTATGCTTAGATTTAAAAGCAAGACAAAAATACAGATTAATAATTTTTTGTTAATTAGAGTCAAATAAACTCAGGAAGAACAAATCTGTGTCAGTTTCTATAAAACATTATTGATTTAAATTTACTGCTAGACAGATAAAATGTAAAAACGGAGTACTCGCTGTCCCCATTCACTCTGTTTTGTACACAGAAGAAACATTAGGGGTGATTTCGGTGGACGTCACTGATCAGACATCAGTGCTTATGGCACGTGTGTTGGAGTAGAGGTCCGGACGGCTTCGAGAGCTCAGCGATGCGCTGTGCAAAGAGGGAAGGGTGAGAGACAGGCACGGGCTGTCATAGTGGGACGGCATGTAAGTGATCCGTTCGGCCCCGTTCCGCATTTCGTCCATGGTGCTGATGTAAAATGGAGAGCTGTATGGGGAGCAGGTGGGGCAGAAGCTCTGCGGTGGCGTGGGCTCCGGCGACAGGGAGAGCGGGTTAGAGGCGACCCCGTCCAACCTAGTTGTGCTGCATGCGTTGCAGGCAAACTGGGGTTGTGAGCAAACAGCATCTGGATCGGATCCATTCTTCTTACAGCAATAATACTAGAAGAAAAACAAGGCCAGTCAGTCAGCAAGAGAGATAGGAATGCCATAGGACTTCATTGGAGAAATGAATGAATGAATGAATAATTATTATTGTTGTTTTGTAATTACAGGAGCACTAACTTTTTCATCCAAGGTCACCAAAACCAAAAGAAAAATATAATTTATTTAAATATATCATAATAAATAAAATCTAATTAAATAATAATCTTTTTATAAATAAAACAACTCACTGACTTCATTTAAATCTTTCAAAAGAAACAATATTATAAAATTTAATTAAATTAAAAAAATCTTCTTCCTACTGCTCCAAAATTGTTACTGTTGTAAATAAAAATAAATCAAAATCTACATCATACTGTTGCAGTTATCATTATAAATAAAAATAAAAGTAATAAAGTTTATAAATAAAACCAAAATAACATCTACAATACATAAAAATGACAAATTAAATAAAATGACATTTAAAAACATCCTGCAATGTTATTTAATGGGAAAATAAATGTTTTTACTAAAATGGATTTAAAGAATATCTAAAATTAATATTAATATATATAAAATAAAATAATGGGATCTTAACCCTTTTTAAGTGATATCAATATTGCACTTTTTACAAAGAAATGAATGACTTATAAATAGTCTGTGCAAGTGTATATAGTAGGCTATATACGGTATTTATGCATAAATATACAATAATCTCCTGTCTAAATCTCATTGAGTGCTGTCAAAATGTTTACTCAAAGATTCAGTTCTGTTCATCGTGATTAACCTTCATGTTGTTTCAAACCCTCTTCTGTGGGTAAATAAAAATAAATCAAAATCTACATCATACTGTTGCAGTTATCATTATAAATAAAAATAAAAGTAATAAAGTTTATAAATAAAAATTATTAAAATCTATCAAAAAATAATAATATAAAATATAATTACATTTAAAAAAAACTGCATCCAACTGTTTGACTAGTGTTATCATTACAAATAAAAATAAAATAAAGTGTATAAATAAAATAAAAATCATTCAAATCAAATTTTTAAAAAAATAATATAATATTTAATTAAATGAAAAAACCTACACCCTACTGTTTCACTATTGCTATCATTATAAATAAAATAAAAGTAATAAAACTTATAAATATCATAAAAACTCGATTCACTTTTTTAAAATAAAAGAATTCATGAAAAATCAACCAAATCTATATATAAAAAAAAAGTTAGGTTTTTCAAATCTATCAATAATAATAATAATATAATATTAAATTAAAAACATGTATACAATATTGCACTTTTTACAAAGAAATGAATGACTTATAAATAGTCTGTGCAAGTGTATATAGTAGGCTATATACGGTATTTATGCATAAATATACAATAATCTCCTGTCTAAATCTCATTGAGTGCTGTCAAAATGTTTACTCAAAGATTCAGTTCTGTTCATCGTGATTAACCTTCATGTTGTTTCAAACCCTCTTCTGTGGAGGACAAAAGGAGATATTTTGAAGAATGTTCATGCTGCTCTTTTCCATATAATAAAAGTACATATATGACCAAGTTGTCAAAATTCAAAAAGAACAACAACAAAAAAACTCAAGTACTCAACAACTAAAAATAACTATGTTTCCAAACTTTTAAAAAATATATATTCATATATATACCTCTCACACTTTCATATTTTTGTGTCTCAGCAGGGTTTGTCAAAGCTGATTGGGTTGCTACTCTGGCCTGGGCTGCTTCTCTTTTCAAGAAACTGTCCAATATCATATTTTTCGGCTGGTGTTTCTTATGGCCTTCACTTCAGTTGGCTGCCTGTAGATTTTTTGGAAAGCACTCACAATTTTAAAAGATTAAAGAGCAAAGTAAATATCAAATAAATCTAATATATTGTTACTTCACAAACATGTGGATGGGTATTTCTTGTCAATGATTTTCAAGAATATTAGATATAACCAACTGCTGCTCATATTTATCACTGTCCAAAATCCAGTCATTTCAATGACAATCCAAGCGATTGGGAATTTCACTTAAGAGCGACACATTTCCCCAAGCAGATTTCACAGCAGGTTCAAGCTTTTCATGCAAATTTGCCGCGCTAACCAACAGAAAGCTGCTTGCTTTGAAAGCATCTTCTGAGTGGTGCTTTGTGCATCACTACATTATTAACAATAGACAATAAAATAAAACATAAATATTAGATGAAAAACAAACTAAACGAAAAGTTGAAGCACTAAAATTACTAACTGGAAATAAATAAATTTAGATTTTAAATTTAAATTTAATTAATAAAAATGGTGGGGGAAAACACATAAAATTAAATGACTAAGAATTCAACTAAAATCAAAATGAAAACTAAAAAATAACTGGAAGTAAATGGCAAATAAGTAAAATTGGTAATAAATAATAATAATAAAAAAAGAAACCCTAAAAACTAAAACTGAACTGAAACTGAAACTGAAATAAAAAGTATAGAAAATCTAAATAGTAGTATTTAAAAAAAAATGTAATACAAATAAAAAACATAAAATTAAATGATTAAAAATTATACTAAAATTAAAATTAAAACTGAAAATATAAAAATATATACATATTTAAAATATAAATAAAAAAACTATAGTATAATAAAATAGTATTTATATAATACTAAAAACTAAAAATAATACATAAATATTAGATGAAAAACAAAGTAAACTAAAATTAGAAATGTTGTCTTGGCAGCTAACTGAAATAAGTTTAAGTCAAAGCACTAAAATTACTAACTGGAAATAAACTAAAACTTAACTAAATCTGAATTAAAATAAAAATCTAAATAGTAATATTAAAAAAACTAAAATTTAATTAATACAAATTATGGGGAAAACACATAACAAAATTCAATGACTAGAATTCAACCAAAATTAAAATAAAAACTACAAATACAGTAACTGGAAATAAAATAAGGCAAATAAGTAAAAGTGGAAATAAAAAAATAATAATAACTAAAAAATAAAACTATACTAAAACTGGAGAAAAAAAAATATATAACCTAAATTGTATTTTTTTTAAATAAATTAATTTAAATAAAAAACACACAAAATTAAATGATTAAAAATGAAACTAAAATTAAAATGAAAACTGAAAATATAAAATAAATACTTATTTACAATATAAATAAATGAAACTAAAATGAAATAAAAACAATGGGCTGTATTTTATTAAATAAATAAATGAATAAATAAATAAACAAATAAACAAAAAATTTAAACTGAAAAAACAAAATACAATAACTATAAAAGCTTATTCAAAATATTAATAAAAACTATGGTATATTAAAGTAGTACATAAATAATACTAAAATAACACTGCATGGTTTCAAATGTACAGATAAGCTAAATCCAATAAATCTATGTTTTTTCCTCCAATCTTCTTTTGATTTACGACTATGGATCTGTCGGTAAAATAATATAATATTTAATTGAATGAAAAAACCTACACCCTACTGTTTCACTATTGCTATCATTATAAATAAAATAAAAGTAATAAAACTTATAAATATCATAAAAACTCGATTCACTTTTTTAAAATAAAAGAATTCATGAAAAATCAACCAAATCTATATATATAAAAAAAAGTTAGGTTTTTCAAATCTATCAATAATAATAATAATATAATATTAAATTAAAAACATGTATACCCTACTGTTTCACTATTGTCATCATTCTAAATAAAATAAACTGTATAAATATATATATATTTTTAAATAAATCTATCAAATCTGTTTTTTTTTGTTTAGTTTTGCTTTGTTTATTCACAAAATTCAATGCATAGAGGAAAATATCTGTCATTATTTTTTAGCCTTAAGTTATGAGGCGCGCGCGCTCACCTGAAGTCGACAGTAACAGAGCACGACAATGATACACAGGAGTATCACCGTCGCGAGAATTCCTCCGGTTATAACCACAGTTCCAGCTGTCATCCGACCGGATCTCCATGAAACTCTAAACGCAAACACACACACACAGACTGACTGTCAGACCACTTGTACAGGTGAGCATGCCAAACGACCACTTTGAGCTCCATTACTTCGGGTACAATGTCACAATGTCCGCAAGATGGCGATGCAAAACCACAAATCCAACATATGAAGTGACACGTTAGTTCTGACAGACGCGTCGTCCGTGTTCAGTCAGTTTGATTCAGCACGTGCTGACAGAGGAAGTGTCGGGTCAAGCAGCCCAGCGCGATTGAGTTTGACCAGCACTGCAGATCTGATTAAGGAGCTGCACTGATGAAATGCAATCATCAAACTCTCTCTCTCTCTCTCTATGTGTGTGTGTGGGAAATTACATCTGGACTTTTATTAGGAAAAAGTTTGCTAGTTAATTACAGGAGTCTTTCCAGCTTAATCTTTCCATTAAAAAATCTTTCCATTAAAGGTCACATAATGATCAAATTCAGTCAAATTTATCAAAACATTACAATATAAACTATTTCTTATAAATATAAAATAAAGAACTTTTCACTGTTGTTGTAAAACATCACATTTATCAAGAAACATAATAAAAATAAAATAACATCAAATAAAAACCTATGTTGTTATACTAACAATACAAAATACATACTAAAAGTCCTTTCTAAAAGCAATTCTCTCAATATAAATAAACAAATAAAATCTCCATCTACAAAATATAAATAAAAAGCATACCCCATACTCTTTTACTATTGTCATGAATGGTATATTTTTAAAAAATGCATTCAACATATATGCAAAAATCTTGCCATTTCTCTCTAATTATTTGTGAAATTTAATAGCAATTTCCGAGTGAAAATTTTGCTCTCTTGTAGTTTTCTTGCCAATTTTGGAACTTTGAACTGTATTGCTATTGCTGTTGCCTCCTTTCTATGAATTGCTTTTAATATCCTTCATTTATAAACCACTTTGGCTAAAACCACCTGCTAAATGAATAAATGTAAAAGAAGATCTTTCCAGTAAAAAAGTATTTCATCAGCCTAATGATAAAAGCACATGCTAAGTTGATGCTGGGGGTGAGAAATAAATCCAGCACGGAACATGCCTAGAAGACCAACATGTGGTGCACGAACCGGAGCAGACGGGATACAGGATACGAGATACAGCCCAGATTAAACAGCAACAATACTGATGGGATTAGTGCAGCGCTGATAGGACATGCAGGCCGGACGCTGACACATGCATCTGTATTCAGACCCACCTGAAAAGATACTAAACTATTAATGAGCACTTTATGAATTATTATACGCTGTCTTCTGTGCATTTTTACAGGCATCTATAAAGTGCTTAAAATGAAATGTAGCTTGACAGTTTAGTAGTGCAATTAATCTGGAAAAGTCACGGATGAATGTTAAAAAACGTTGGCAGAAAAGCTGCAGTTTGTGTCATTTTTCATATTAGTAATCTGAAATATGAAAGATAATATAAAATTTTTTTTTATAAGGATGAGTATACATTTTTAATATCAAGTGAAAAGTGCCTGCATATGAACTCTCTCCAGAATTACGCTTGGAGATGCAAGTATCTGGTGCTGTGTCTCAGAATGCAATGAGCACAACTCAATGCAATAATATACACTGCAATATTATTTCATGGAAGAATAAAGGTGGTTTTACTAAAACTTGAGATGACTATTTTCTAGATAAAATACTATAATTATAAATGAAATAATTATGTTAAAATATATATATTTTTAAATTCATTAAAAATTATTAAAATTCAGATATATCAAAATACAATTATTTTAAATACGCTGATTAGGATAAAGTGAATAAGGTAATAAATAATAATAGAAAAAAAGAAACCCTAAAAACTAAAACTGAACTGAAACTGAAACTGAAATAAAAAGTATAGAAAATCTAAATAGTAGTATTTAAAAAAAAATGTAATACAAATAAAAAACATAAAATTAAATGATTAAAAATTATACTAAAATTAAAATTGAAAATATAAAAATATATACATATTTAAAATATAAATAAAAAAACTATAGTATAATAAAATAGTATTTATATAATACTAAAAACTAAAAATAATACATAAATATTAGATGAAAAACAAAGTAAACTAAAATTAGAAATGTTGTCTTGGCAGCTAACTGAAATAAGTTTAAGTCAAAGCACTAAAATTACTAACTGGAAATAAACTAAAACTTAACTAAATCTGAATTAAAATAAAAATCTAAATAGTAATATTAAAAAAACTAAAATTTAATTAATACAAATTATGGGGAAAACACATAACAAAATTCAATGACTAGAATTCAACCAAAATTAAAATAAAAACTACAAATACAGTAACTGGAAATAAAATAAGGCAAATAAGTAAAAGTGGAAATAAAAAAATAATAATAACTAAAAAATAAAACTATACTAAAACTGGAGAAAAAAAAATATATAACCTAAATTGTATTTTTTTTAAATAAATTAATTTAAATAAAAAACACACAAAATTAAATGATTAAAAATGAAACTAAAATTAAAATGAAAACTGAAAATATAAAATAAATACTTATTTACAATATAAATAAATGAAACTAAAATGAAATAAAAACAATGGGCTGTATTTTATTAAATAAATAAATGAATAAATAAATAAACAAATAAACAAAAAATTTAAACTGAAAAAACAAAATACAATAACTATAAAAGCTTATTCAAAATATTAATAAAAACTATGGTATATTAAAGTAGTACATAAATAATACTAAAATAACACTGCATGGTTTCAAATGTACAGATAAGCTAAATCCAATAAATCTATGTTTTTTCCTCCAATCTTCTTTTGATTTACGACTATGGATCTGTCGGTTCACTATGCAGACATGCTAGAGGAGCTAAATGTGATTCGCAGACTAAGAAGAAATGTAATTAAAGAATGTAACTCTGTTACCATCATTTCCAGCTGGCTATGCACCTCTGCAAATGTACATGTGTATGTGAAACACTGTGTGTGCATGGAAACAGTATTAGAAAGCTTAAACTCAATGGTCTATGATCAAGACATCTGGATTATGTCATCTGCTCAGTTCTGCATGTTGTGGCATTTTTAAATGCAGTTTATATTGACTTATAATAATGTAATCATCTGTATTCTGTTCTTCCTCTCAGAGCCGTGTTCAACAGTCAGAACACATACTGTATGAGCCCATACATCCTCCACAATCCCATCATGCCTCTGCTTGTAGCCTGAGGGCGCATGGGCCGGCGAGTGCAGGATTTATAGAGGTTTCAAATGCGAGTCCCATTCCAAGGTCAATCCCAACTGTGTTAGAGAGCAGCTCCAATATACAGCTTCAAACTATTGACCTCTTATTCAGCATTTTATAATGGGCAGTGCTCTTTAGAAGTGGATTTCATTTCACACACCAACAAACCAGACATCGACATAATATGCATTTAGATTTGAAAAACCATTATTTAATAAAAAGTCGCAGCACATTCATTTAATCATGAATCAACTATATAATGATTAAGGTTATGTAGTTATAAAGACAAATGTATTTTTTAAATGTCACATTTGGGCAATCTGTCACAGGTTGTGTGTATATTTATGTAAAAGTTGATGTTATGCTAAATATTTTTTAATATTAAATTTTTTATTAAAAAAAGAATTACTGTATCAAAACCACGTTTGTGTGGTATCATCCCTGTATGAGAAATACTTAAGAAATACTTTATATATATGTGTGTGTGTGTGTGTGTATGTGTGTCTGTTTTGTTGTTAATAACAAAAATTATAAATTTCAAATGAAAAAATAAATAAATAAAACTGAACCAATCTATAAAATTGCAGAATTTTGATCTATTTGATAACATTATTTAATACAAATTTATGGTCTTTATATAAATCTAATATACAAATAATAATAATATAAAAACTTGATTCATTATTCATATTTATATTTCAACAATTAATAAGAATTATAAATTATTCAAATGATGAATAATAATAATAACAAAAAAACTAAACTAAACCGATCTATAAAACTGTGGAATTTTGATCTATTTGATAACATTATTTAATACAAATGTACAGACTGTATATTAATATTTACGATAATAATAATAATAATAATAATAATAATATAAAAATAATAATACTTTTTATCTATAATTTTCATCAAAATTATTTATATTTATATTTCAATAATGAATCATTATTATAATTATTTGAATGATTAACAATTAATAATAATATTAATTATATATATATATATATATTATTTAATACATGTTTAATTATATTAATAATAAATACTTCAATTTACCATTTTTAATCAAAAAGAGAAGAAAATGGCATTCTATGCACCAATAAAATTACCTCACTGAAAAAATAAATAAATTACACACTGCAGCATTTTAAATGTAGTCTAAAGAAAATAGTACATTTTACTGACAATACTGTCCTAAAATATCTTAAAGTTAGTTATTTGGTGGTATAATCTCTAGCTCTCCATATTAGTTGTTGGCTCTACTCTGAACTGGCTTTAATTCAGTTCTACTACAGAGGGCTGGGAAGCAGCTCACTGCATTAACCAGTTTCCAGCCCCTAGGGCCCATAAACCAACTCATAGTGTTTGATGCCAGAGCAATGACCTTTTGAAGACTGATATCTTGTTACAACACTTGTAACTCAGAGAACAGAATAAATCCCTCACTTTTTAGTAACACATATACACACAACAATTGTCTACTCTAGACCCAACTCAAAATATCCATAAAAAGGAACATTAGAACGTTAATAATGCTAATTTAATAGTTTTTGTTTTAGTCATTTTATCACTTATTTTTTTCATTAATTTATTTTTTAAAACTGATAAAAATGCACTAAACCAATCTAAAGATTTTTTTGTATCTATAGTTTTAAATGAGTGAGGTTATCTTGTAAACCAATCAACCCAAGTATATAGTGATACATCATTGTAATCTGCTATAAGATTTTCAAATAAGACATTGTCCAAAATCACAGCTCCAGTTTTTCATTAATTCAGAATAGCACTCCCGCAACAATATTGTTCCATCACCAGCAGTTTTGGTCAGGTATTGAGTTCATCTGACAGCCTCTGGAAAGGTTCTTATTTCGGTGTTTCTCCTCACGGAATGCATTTGCATTTTGGTTGGCCTCAAAGCCCAGATGCAATCAGCATCTCTGTTAGAAAACGTCTCCTCTGAGACTAGTGCAAAGAGGGATGTACATTAATGTAAATTATGTGACATGTAATCGTAAAACAAAATAGCACAGAGATCTGCATAGGGAGGAAACCCAACTTCTTTTCATCCGTGATGATCCGGGTATAACATTTCTATCCGATTTACGTTCAATTTAGGTTTAGGGTTTGAGTTAAGTTTAAGGATGGGGTTAGATGTATGAACAACATTCCTATCAACCATCACTTTCAACTGTTAAACCACAAGAGAGAGAAGTTTCTCTTACTTAATAAAGGTAAACTATCAGTTGTCACACCTTTTCATTTCCTAATGGCTATTGAAAAATATATTTACTTTGTATTCTATTTGTGACAAATGTCGCTATCCACCTTATTTTTAACATAAAAGCGGGTGTGGCCATTTGTAACTTGAATGAGCTTCTAGTCTCATTCGCTTCAAGGTTGCCAGGTCTGCTTAACAAAACCAGGTCAACTACTTCCCAAAACTAGCCCTAACTAGCCTAATCACGTTCTGGGGGAAATTGGCTCAAAATTGCTCAAAACACACATTCCGGGGGGAAGGAGTGATTCGTTTCAACCTGCAGACTAAAAAAAACTACCAGCGGCAACCATAGATTTGTATATGTATATGCCTCATTTGCGACTGTTTCTATGGGCCGCTATACCTAAGCCGTCCGCCATATTGGAAGGGTCAACTTCAAGTCATTCACCAATCACCATAATAATCAATGAATATTCGAAGATGCCACAATCCTTACATATCTATGGTTCCGCCATTCTCTCGCATTCTCACCTGTAAAAGGTTATCCCGTTTCTTCGGGAATTTAAATCTTGGTGGTTTTTACAAACATCAGCTGGGCAGGATTGTGGCATCTTCGAATATCCATTGATTATTATGGTGAATGACGTCAAGTTGACGGTTGCAAGATTGGCGGACACCTCTACGTGCTTGGAGCTGTCGAATGAGGCATCTACCTATAAATATATATGGCGGCAACAGTATAAAAGTAGCCCAATTCCGCAGCAAAACTGTGGACTTGGCAACACTAATTCGCTTCCAGTTGCTCTTAGCTGTACAAAACAGCTCTTGATATTGCAAACTGGTATTTCGTATAATTTTATTTTAGTGTATTGTCGTAATTATTACCTGGTTTGTAGCGTTTATTCTTCTTGTTATTTACCTATCGGCTAATGAATTGGAAGTCTCGCACATTCACAGAAAACACCTTACTTCTGCATTCCAAAAAAAAAAGGTTGATGGCAAGTGTGCAAATGATTAAATTAGGCTACAAGGAGTTTATGTTTTCAGAGATATTTTCTAGAAAAACTCGAATGGCATATTGTACCATTAATTGTTCATATCGCGAACGGTTGCCATGGTTACCTGCTTGAGAGTATAATTCGGGGAATATCTTTTAAATACATAAATATACACACAATCTGACAACTTTCTCCAACGTGATTTAAAAAAATTGTTCTTATAACCACATAACCTTTATTAAATAGCTGATTTATGACTAAATGTGACTTGTTTTATATAACAATATCTATAGCTCTAGAGTTTAGAACAACAAACATAGAAAGCATGCATTACATTAAGACTTTTTAACATAGTAAAGTTAAAATAATATAAATTTGTACAAAATCCACACAAATCAATATGGTCATCATTACAATACGTTTTAGTTTTAGATCCTTCCAAATCTAATTTTCTAGAACAACACAAATGAACAGGATGTGAAAAGACAAATCCAATCGTACCTTCAGTGAACGTCTGTATGTTTGGAGAGAGATCTGAAGACGAGCGCTCGATCACACCATCTCTCACCCGGTTATTTCCACACAACGGGGCTAAAAACTTGTTCTCCACACCTGGAATCTGTCGGTCTACCACATGTTCGGATCTCCCAGGCTTGCGGTAATGCCCATGCAAGAACAACAGAAATAGCGAAAGGAGGAGTTACTCCCTGCGCGCGGAGAGAGACTGGAGGAGACGCGCGCGCTCAGATGAAGCATCAGAAGATGAATACTTACTCTATAAAGGTCAGACTATCATACGTCAGGCAGAGGAGATCTGTGGACGTTTTCTACTAAAGTTTTATTGAAACAATTTCACTAAGCATAATATAAAAACTAGAAAATATAAAAACACGGCCCACGTCTTTTAGATTTTAAGCAATTGTAGTTCGGAGTGTCATCATGGCAGTGGCGCTATTATTAAGTACTACAATTGTAAATAATATTAATTTTCTAACGTTACAATAATTCTATAAACAAGTCATTAATATCGAGTAATTAACGTTTCGGACAAAAAAAATCGTTAGTATGTTTATATATTTCTTCTCAGCCAATCAAAGAAGCCGAGTAGTCAATGCACGGACTGAAAGCGGGAATGGATTCACGTAGCTAATGGAACGGAGCGACAGCGATTTCTTCTCCACGCTCAAAAGCGTTCCGTTATCACTCCAGTTCTACATCCGCTTCGGGTTTTCCGATTCTTTACTAGTGAAAGAAACTCTATAAAGGCAACAACGGGCACGGCCATTTCCAAACTTACATGTGCAAGACTTCCGGTGTCAGCGCTTTTAGTTATTTCGACTGTTCGAAAACAGTCTGTTCTGTTGCAAACTGGTATCATTTTATTATTGTAATTATAAAAACATTATTTTTGTAGCGCAAACATAGTTTACCGTTTACTGCATTTCTAATAATGTTATTATTTACCTATAGCAGCTAATGATCGGAAGTCTTACACATTCACAGGAAATAGTGTGCTTCAGAAAAGTGGTGGATACTGGATATCACTGACTTAAAATTATGATGTAATTTTATTTTGGAAGACAAAATTCATAAAACAAGGTGTTTGAAACCAAAATTCAAAACTGCGGAATTGGATTTTTGACTCATAACCTTATGGTTACTGAGATATATATGATAACTTGTGATAACTATACAGTCTTCTCTACAGTTAGTAAGTCCACACATGGACTCTTTCCCAGAGACAAAACAACGGGTCTCTATGGTAACCAGTGGCATCTTGGCAGGTAAAAGGTCTGTGTGGGTCAGTTAACCAGGATAATATGATTTGCCATGCAGCATTGTGCTTTAATACGATCCCTATCAGAGCTCCCTTCCATCCTGCATTCGCACAAAGATTCTCCTAATGGCATAAATCACTGCGTCATTCTCCAAATTCTCTCAAAGTTTATCAGTGAAGTGCATTCAAGCTTCAAAAAGGACAAAAGAATCATAAAAACAACCCATTTTGTGAGGCTAATGGCACAGAAATTATTGTTTTGATGCTCCATAGTGGCAGAATGTCGAGATATGGTGTGAAATGAAAAGTCCTTATGTAATTTGTATGGTCTGTCACATGAATATAGACATAGCATTGCTTTAACAAACAAAAGTGTCACCACAAAAAATGACTCACTGCCTTGTTTTGCTTATCGAGTTCATCTTCCATTATTGGAGCTGGCAGAGGTTAGTGAAAGATATTAGAATTCATCAGCTGTGGCAAAGCATATTATAAGCTTGAAGAAACAGAGAGGAAAGGCCTAGACTGCGTTTTGACTGCATGTGATTTGATTTTATGGTTCATTTTCATCAAAATAGTGAAAAAATACTGACATGCATTACATTTCATAACACTAAACAGTTAATGGAAATGCAATCAACCTACTCAAGAACGTAACCGGTTCCTTTGTTTGTGAATCATTTCAAATGGCTGAAAGTATTGCCAGACTTTGACACTGAAGGAAGATCCCAAGCCATATTTAGTGTCCTTTTGACTTGGCCATAATTATGCCATAAAATATAGAAATTATGACATATTTAGTCATATTCATGAGGTTAAAAGTCAAAATTATGGCACAAGTTGAAATTTTGAGATACACAAAATTATGATACAAGATAAAAATGATGGCATAGTCAATTATGAGTAAAAAGTTCAATTCATGACAGGTCATAATTATGAGATAAAAGTCAAAAGCTGGGGAAAAAAGTGAATTATGAGACAAGTTATAATGACACAAGTCGAAATGATGGCATTCTAATTAATGATAAGATAAAAAGTAAAAAAAAATATATATATATCATAGCCGAAATTGAGATACTAAGTCAAAATTATGAAATAAAAATTTGAAATTATGACAGCCATTATGAGATAAAAAGTAAATTACAGGTTAGATAAGTCATACTTATGAAAAAGTCGATATTATGGCATGCTAAGTGATAATTATGACAAGTCAGTTATGAGATAATGACAAAATTATGACATTCATTTGACAATTCGAAAACTTTGAGATAAAAAGTTATAATTATAATTATGGCATAAAAATTCAATTATGGGATAAAAAAAAAGTCAACTGAGACGCAAGTTGAAATTATGACATACTAAATCGTAATTCTGAGAAAAAAGTTACAAAATGACAAGTTGAAATTGAGATACTACATCAAAATTATGATAAAAAGTTTAAATTAGTCATATTTATGAGATGAAATGTCTAAAGTCATAAATGACACAAAAACTACAAATAAAATTGTCATAATTATGACTTCTAAATTTCTTAAATCAGCTTTTTGCCATACATTTTCATGCCATAATGACTTGTGTCAATTATACCAAAAGCAAAGCATGATTTTTTTTCTTTCTTTTTTTGTGGCAGGAATTGGCTTCCATACTCAGAAAAAATTAGTTTCTTCAATTAAATTTCATTAGCTTAGCGTCCAATGCTAATTTGATTTCTGCAACATTAAGCTTTCTTTTCTCCCTCCCTAAATGAGGTAATATTTTTTGCTTCCCCAGCTGGTCTTGTTAAGAGACCAGGCGTCTTCAGGGCCTTGAAGAAAGCTCATTAAGATGCCATTAACAGTAATTGCACCAAACAAGGAAGATTCAGAACCAGCGGAGCACTGCCAACCTGTACCCTTTCCTTGGCTCCGCTGTTTTGTGTGGCACGTTATGGATGCACTTGGTTACACAACATCCTGTTTGAGTAATTTAATATTTCAACACGCTCAGTGGAGCAAGGATCCTCCCACAGTGAATGTTGGGTCAAACAAAATATTCCAAAAAGTGAAAAACCAGTGGGCGGAATTGATCGAAGGTACATAAAAGAAAACAAAGCAGGGGTGCTGGGAAACCACTGCTGCACATTTTAACAAACCAGTGAAACCAGAAAACACTGGTCCCAGTAGATGAACAGCGTATCGGTAGCATGTCCATGTGCTTGAGATCGTATCAAGCGCGTAACGGAAAAGAAACTTTGACGTTGTCTTGCCTTCGCAGGTCAGGGGTGGCTAATGTTTTGCAAAAAGTCCCAGAAAAGTGGTTTGAGCCAGTAAATTTGCACTCATACAAGGGCTCCAAATAGTATTCAGATAGTTTTATCATACCTAAAAATGATATTAGATGCAAAACAGACACAATTGGACACAAATTTCAGTGTAGCCTCCTTTTTATTTTCTTTATAAAACTGTTTGGTTCTTGATTAAAGAAAATCTGAATTGAACACTGAACAAGCAACTTAATAACAAATAAAACAAACAAATGGCCAGTTTGGTTCATAGAGAAAACATAAAAACACACAAAACTTTAGCACTGTACATGCAAATACATAAAAATAAAGAACAAGGTGCTACTGGAGATACATTGCGCTAAAAAAGAATAAGAAATGTATCTGCTTTGACGTGTCGCTGCTTTTCTTATATATCATTTGATATATTTCTTGGATGTGGCAGCCAAAGAAACGAAAGAACAAAAGTTACTGAACATGACGAGAGTACAAAACACGCAGCGCTTCTGGACTGTCAGGCTATGTGACTGGAGCGCCAGTGTAGGATGTTGGCCCCGGCGGACAGGCGCGCAGCTGGTCTCAGAGCTAACGGAGATATGTGGTGCTGGAACGGAGTGCTTGGACCCGGTCCCAGATGAACTGGACTGCCGAACAATTGCATCATGAAGTGGGAGAGCTGGGGCTGGACCGGAATAATGGGTACACCTGGAAAAACTAGGAAACTTTACTGTGAAATGAATCATGTCGTCAATGCAACTACTGTAGATTCGACTTTCATATGACAACTGTTTTTCAGACATTAGGATATTTCGTATTGTGGCAGTGTTGATGTGCTGTACCTGGATAGCTGGAGTTGATCTGGATGGGGTTAGGAGTGCATGTGGTTAAGACGGGCTTTGGTTTAGCTGGAGAAGCACACATCTGCGGGTCACTTACTGCTGCTTGGACAGGTGGAGGAGTAGACACGGTCTCAGGCTATATGAAAACGCATGAAAAAAACTAATGTGGCCACGTAGATCAGTTAATGTGCTTTAAAAAATGAGCTAATAAGCAGAGTAATTATCACCAAAGGGAACTCTGAAAAAAATTGGAGAAAAAATCTAACAAAACAACAAAACAAATCCAAATCAAACAGGTCATCCCATCTGTCATTGGTCAGACAATCAAATAGTCCTGCCCCAAACTCATGCCATTGATTGAGTTAGAGTTGGGCTGGTCAGAATACACTAACAAACAGCAATGTTTTTATAGCACCACAGTAATACACTTTTAGGTGAATCAACATGCAAAAGGCTTAAAGTTGTCTTTAAGCAAGTATTTTAACAGATATTTTTTCAATATTTTTTTTTTATTAATGATATTACATATTAATATTAGATCATAATATTAAGCTAGTATTTTAAAATAAATATGACACTTTAGCTACTCTGTAAAAAAAAAAAAATTATACTATTAAACTATAGACTGTATAAAAACATGGACGTAGTGTCCGTGACGTCACCCGTAGGTTTCTGAAGAGTGTTTTTGAAGCCTAAATTGGGCAGAGCGGGCCGTCGCCATCTTGGTAGCGCATCACTCCCGACAATAATGTACAGTATGTGGAAAATAATGTGTTTTTTTAACTTTAAACCGCATAAACACATTTCATTACAC